AGGGAAAGAAAATATTAAAAATACTTTACAAGACTGTCAGAAAGCTAAATAAGATGTCAACAGACATTAACGAAGGTCCACCCGTCTTATCAGATTTATCACCAGAAGGCAACCCTGATCAAAAATGACATTGTTTCAAGCCAAACACAGTAACTTTGTTCGTTAGGCCAGCATCTTCTTATTTAAAGACAATTAGTCCCAAACTAGTTTAGAAAATTATGAAAGGCATTCTGGAACTGTATTTCCTTCTAGTGGACTAGTTCAATAAAACCATATTATGAGAAAATCTGCACGAAAATATTAAACTTGGTAATGCTCTGAGGGCTGAACAGTCTAGGAACGATTGAACCAAGACAACTGGATTATTACCAGTCATGGAGCCTTTATCAGGCAACTCTGCCTCCTGAGCTTTTCCTCCTTCATGTTCCGACACTCCATTTTCCTCTAGCAACGTTTCCTTTGTGCTCTCATCTCCATTCACAGCATCACTTAGATCCTGCTTGGCTGGACTCTTTCCTGTAGGCTTTTTCTTCTTGGTTTTCACTTTTGGTTGCATGCTTCTTTTTTTCTCTAATTCTATACTCTTTCTGCCTGCAAAAGGTTGCAAAAGTTACCCTGATGTGATCTGTACAGATTTTTAGTCTATTAGCTGTCTCTCAAGATCAACACTTAGTTTCCAAATAAGCATACAACTCAGTTTAAACCTGGATACTGTTTATTCTGGAAGAGGGAGCAGGCAGATTTGAATTCAGCATAAGAACTTACCATACCATTTCAACATGGCAACCCGCTATTTCCCAGCTCCAACTTCCAAAAAGGGTCTTCTGTTTGAATGTACTTACCCTGAGGAGGCCGTGTATGCTCCTGCTTTGAGATCTGCCATTTGTGAACTGAAAAGTCATCTGCTCCTGTATAAACAGAATCTGAATCCACTGGTGACCACTGGACACTCAGTAGCCGGCCCTGGTGCCCTCGGTAGTTGCAGAGGGGCTCTTCCTTCAGAACATCCCATACCTTACAAACAACAAAGAAATCCAATTACTCAGAAAGTCTCATCTTCCCCTGATACTCTGCATTTTCTCTTCAGTGATTTGCACTTGTAGGAGCTTCTCTTTTAGGGCATTTGCACAGGTATTTCAAACACCAAGAGGCAAACGGAGAAAATTCAGGGCTTCCTTTGTCTGTATCAATACGTTTGCATAACAGCTTGCTTTCTTTAAGGATCCAAAAGTGCTAAAATGAAAACAATAATGACTGGACTTACAAATCAATTTGCAAGTTGCAAAAACATATGGATACCTGCATATCAGGTATCCAGAACAGGAGATGGTTACCAAGGGTAAGTCTGCAGTACTTCAAGAGTATATCTCACAAAATAAGCTTTTCTGTTTGGTGAACTTTGTTCTAAAACACTGCAGAATGGATGATTTGAAACTAAAACAAATACACTTCTGAGTGGCTGTGGAACAATACCTGTGCAGTGCCATCATAGCACGCAGATACCAATCTTCCCTCATGGTGGGGGCTCCAAGAAAGGCTTGTGATTTTAGCTGTGTGCCCAGCCAGAGTTCGAAAAGGCTCTGTTATTGTCAAAGGACTTTCTGAAGTGCTCTCTGAAAGAAGAAAGAAAAGGATCAAGTATGGCCAGCAAGACAAACCAGGACTAAACTAAAACAAGATTTAGTGGCATTGATCGAGCCTGAAGCTATCAAGTAACTCAGCTCTGGCTGGCTCCCATGCTCATGATGCCAACGAATAGCATTAATCAGTTTATGATGCTGCTGGATAGTGCAGAGCAGCTTCAAGTTTGGCGCCTGAAATATTTCAATTGAGCTGAAATGTAAGAACACCAGTGTTAAGAATTACAGTTGTCAGTGAAGATGGGAGTTTCTTTGTTATCCTGCATGAGCAGTATGACAGAACATGAAACAGAGTAAGTGAGTTTTTCTTTTCTGGATTCAGCTCAAACCCTCATTTAGTACATCACCAAAAGTGTGGTTCAACCATGAGTGGATCCTTGAAAAATAATTTAACTTGATGATGTGGATCCTCCATGCCACAAGTGGCTAAACCAAATAACAGCAAGGAATGCTGTATTGTCACAATTCAAATACACCGGCAGCGGAAGAACGCAGACAAACCAGGGCAACAAAAAGTACTCTTGCTTCACTACAGTGATTCTAGTCAGGATCAGCACATACACAGCCTTGACCTACAAGTGGAACATACCCATCTTCATTGCCAAGAGCCAAGAGTTTGCCATCTGGTTTCCAGCTGATCTCTGTGTGTGCAGGCAGTTTGTGCTGTAGAAAGAAGACACAACTATTGCCAAAGCCCCATTAATCTCTCTTGCATACATTCAACACAGCAACACTGGCAAGTAGACAGAGTTGCAATTAGTCTGCAAAATTAAAGTCACAAAAGTGTCCATTGCATTTTGTAGCAGTGACATAAGCTTGAGCAATTAAGAAAGACTGAAAGAACTGATGAAAGAACCAGTGATTATTTTTATCAGTTCTGTGAAATGTCTCAAAGAATTTTTTATGGATTCCAACAGGACCTTGCTGCTTGCTCAGTCTCCTTATGCTCCTTGGAAAGCCCCAGACATTGCAAGCAAATTCTATCATCTTTCAAAAGAAATCAAAGTTTACTTGTAATTATTTCTATTCTTTCTACTTCAGATGAAAGCTACTTACAATTTACATGCCTAAGAATGATCGTTTCATTGCCTGTGACACCAGTCTCTTAACCCCTGGTGAGTCTTCTACTCAAGAAAGAAGCCAAAACCCAGCTGACATAAATCAATATAGTTTGATTGACTTCAGTTGACTTATGCTGACTTAAAGCAACTGAAGATGTAACCCACTTCACTTATTTTGTATTTTCAACTAAGAAATGACTGATCATACTTGAGAAGACGTTATGGTCAATTATCACCAACCACTCTGCATTATCTGCAGTGTAAATGGAAACAGACTCCTGCAAAATCATGAATGCCTTTACTGCAACATTTATTTAAAAAAGAAAAAGTTAATGTTTGAAACTAGAGAACTTGAGCTAGTTAACTCATGCATACCCACCAAGCCATCTAAGCTATGACATTATTCAGGATATTACTTAAGTGCTTTGAAACTGGAAAGCTCTGTGTGAACTAATTATTTTGAGCAGCCACACACAACTTTAAAAACCAGACCCTATATTTCAATTTAACTTTTCTGCTTAAGTAAATTACACGGTAGAAAACTAAGTAACTGATGCCAGGAACAGATATGCCATGCTAACGTTGGGGGCAAAAAAGACCCTTTTTCAGAGGCAAACACATCAACTGTTTAAATAAGTTGACCCAGTATCGCTGAAGTTCATCTGTGGAGATTGCAGGTTTCAAATTTTTTATTTGTTACAGATTCATAACGAAGGCAAAATCAGAAACCTACAACTACAAGGTCATAGAAACTATGACATGGTACCACGAATCCATTAAAAAGCCCCCAAATCATACTCACTTTGATTGAATTAGTGTCTCGGATGACTTTGTTGATGTCATTTGCCTCTCCATTAAGCTTCCAGGGGTTGTGTTGAAAAACAATACCTTCTCCAGCACAACTATATAAAGTTACAGAAGGCTGCTCACCTTCTCCTCCTATCCAACAGAGAAATAAAGCTAAATATACTATGTTCTTCATCACTTTTAGCAGAAGTAATCACTCCCACTATAAATCAAAACATTATTTTAAAAGGCTTTATACATGCTTCATTTGCCTGTGATCTGGCAGCAAGAAATTCTCAAAATCCTCTGAAAGGACCTCTCATTTCTACCAACAGATCTCTCCATAGCACAGTCACTGCAAGCTTTAAAATTCCCTTTAAAATATGGTGCTTAAAAAAACTCAGGTTGTGTAAGAACAGCTAATGGAGCAGTTCTGTTTGGTTCAAATTGTAGAACCATACTTCTGGAGCTAAGGAACCCATATTTGATCCAATGTCATTACTGCAGGGAGCCCGTGCAGACAGTTACTGGTTTGTAATACCCTGAAGTAAGCGTAGAGGTGTGGTACTCCACTCCAACCTACTTCCTGCAGCTACTATAATTAAAATACTAGAAGAGATTGTTTTGCTTCCTTGCAAAACTGTTAACAATTCCTCAAGCAGAATGCATTCTTAGCTGCTGGAAAGGATTGCTAACAAGCAAATGGTGCTCCCTTTCCTAGGAAGGGAGGAAATACCAACTTCATGGCATCTGTGTGCTCTACATCAATGTTCTACTTTGTCACAAGGCGTCAGAAACTCACCAGAAGACAGAGGAGGAGTTGGAGGCCCCCAGGCTAATGCGTATACAGTCTTCTTGTGGTAAGTACTGGAGATCTGAGGTGGTTTATTCTTAGCACTGGGCACGAAGACAAGGAAGCAGGGGCAGCAGATTTCAGCAAAGGAAAATAAAAAACAAATAAATAATAAAAAAAATCAAAGCAACATATTTCCAGTGGTGAAAACAGACACCAGCTGCTTTAACATACTAAAGCCATAGCTGAACCAAGCCTTCTCTAACATCTGCTGTAGGACACTACACAAATCATAACAAAACTGTCCTGATGACCTTCACCTGCATGCTGCTCTTCTTTACCAAGAAAGACATTTTCAGAGAATGTTTTCCTTGACTGATGTCCTCCCGCAGGTGATCTCTGGTCACACAATCTTAAGTTTACCTTAAGTAACGATTACCTTAGAAGCTACTGGACATACTGGACAGATGCAAAGATGCACTGAAAATCCAGCTGTTTGACTAGCTTTAATTTAATCCTACTGTTGTATAACAGTAAAGATATATCTCAGGAAAGACCACACCACCTGTGCATGGTAACATACCAGTAGGATCTGACACTAATAGATCTGAAAGCTACTTTCTTACCTGCTGGACAAGGTGTCAAATATGCCAACTTTTCCATCATCTGTTCCAAAAGCCAAGCAGCCTTCCTTAGTTGGATGCCAGGATAACTGCAACCAAAATAGGAAGAGACCCATAATGACATAAGCTACAGACACTTTGTTTCTAAATAATAAACAAAAGGAAAACATGAAACTGATGAGCAAGCTCCCACCCTTCCAACCACAGCCACTTGATTTGATCTGTTTACTGTGAGCATCAGAGTCTCTCCCCTTACCAGCTACTGGGGGATGCGATGAGATGAAATGGACTAAAATCATTAAAATACCACTTTACATCTACATTACAAAATACAAATGGAGAATATGGTAGGATGGTGAGAAAACTTTTGGTGTGAGCGAGAATAACTACGTGTGTGTTTTACTGCTGCCAGCAATTTTAGCCGGCAGTAGCCTCTGGCCAGCCACTGTTCAAACTCAACCTGAAGACATGCATGTTGGTTTTCGTGCATGTCAAACTTCCTAGCAGAGCAAGGGCAACCACAGATGAAGCAAGGAAGGATCATGAAAGAAGATCAAAGTAAAAAAGTAATGTAACAGCAGCTGGACTTCAGCTGATCTTTCACGAGATGTAATGCAAGCACCTGAGATAGTAAAAAGGTCTAGAAATTTGTTGCCAGATTCTAAAATGTATATCAAAAGAATCGAGTATGAAAGGAATAACTTGGCTTTACATATTTTTAGTTGGGAAAAACCTTCTTCAGAGTGAAAGAAAAACATTCTTGAAAGAAAAATATTGAGTGAAAAGAGAAGAGACAAAAACAGGGAATCAAAAGCACACTTACTGCTGTAACCTTGGACTTTATGCTTTGCCAGAAAGTTTTAACATCGTAAATATTGTTCACGGACAAAGTATTCCACACCCTGATCATGCTGTCTCCAACACCGATAGCAAGGCAGCCTGTGTCCACAGGGGAGAAGGCAAGACTATAGACAAATCCCCCAAGTGAGGGCATGGTCCAGCTACACTCGAGAGCTGATAGGTCCCAGCACTTCACCTGAGGAATATTTAAGGAGTAAGGAATGGTTAAATGTAGAGTGATGGGTATGACAAGGAAAAACAAAGCATGAGCGAGATGAAGAACCAACAGGTCAAATTCAAGGCTTGACACAGCATGTGATCTGCACCCAGAGGATTACATGTCACCGACAGGGCTGCAATAGTTGGAAGACTGTAATGGAATGGACAAAGGACTACAGTTTAATAGTATCATCCTCTGATGACTTCAAAATAGGAAACTGCTGCCTGTAAAAGGCAAGAAGTTAAAACACAAAAATACAAAAAACCCCAGATGCTTTAGTTTGTACAAGTAAATGATTTTAAGATGGAAAAATAGGCCTTCTTAAACTGAAACATATACGAAAAAGAGATGGTAAACTTCCTTTATTAAACAATTACCATTCAAGTCTAGGATGTCATAACTGTGCACTCCACCACAGTAACAGCTTGAGCTTATAAACTAAGAAAAACATACACAACCTGTGCTCAGAACAAATTCTAAGCAATGATGATACAAAATGCTGCAATAAACCCACTTTAAGAGAGAATTTACCCTCTAAAAGGGGCAGCCTCAGTCAAACTGTATAGGTACGGCTACTTTTATGTTAATTTTAGAAATGGTTCTTACATCTCGGTCCATTGAAATGGAAAAAAGGAGCTCTTTGTCTTGATGCTTCACAGAACTCAGATTGAACACAATACGGGAGTGATTTTGTCCTTCTGAAGATCCTAGAAGAGTCCACTTGCGTTTTGCAGGCTGGGTCAAATCCCAGAGCAGCAGTTCTCCCCTGCAAAATATAAAGCGTGTACTTCATTGTTCACTTCAAAAGAATAATATAGGCTATATATGGGCTAATTACATATGTACATACTGCAAGCTCAAGAATACTACAGCTAGACACACATCTACCACATGTGCCTATCCACATGCACACGAACACCACCCTACAAATGACATCCATAGTTTACCACACTGAAAACTGACACGTCATTTTCTCCCAGTAGCTGGGCAAAACCACAATCACTACCATTAGCAGTCAATATTCAGTTAGATTATCAGACAAATATGGGACAACGGTAGTTTTCTAGAAGTCTGAACTCCCACTTTAACTCTTGACCTGTCTTCTTTCCAGTTATACTGGGAAGGAAGGAGGAAGGGGGTGTCAACGCTTCCTTCCCAGTTCTTCCTTAAACATTAGTAAATGGATCTGCAGTTACCGATGGCACCCCGGCTGCTGTGCGCCCTGCTTACCCGAAAGAGCTGGATACAATTTCTGTGGGGTGACCCGGAGGCCAGTGAACAGTCAGCCAAATGCGCTCTTTAACAGCGGGATCAACGGCTCCACCTCTTCTCTTCGTGGGTGGCAACTTCAGAGTCATCACACCTAGGGAACCAAGAGGGATTATGCAGACCTAGTACACCAAAATTCTCAGAGAGAAAATGAAGTCATGTGAATGTGAAGCTTTCAGTATGCTCTGCATGCTTTACACTATCAAGTTAGTGAATGAAGGCTGCAGTTAGAGAAGAACTCTTCCACCATGTTGTTACTGCTTATCTCACGTTATTAATCTTACTTACTTCTGCCTCTAGTACAGCTCCATATCCGTATGGTCTGATCTTTGCTTCCTGAAGCCAGGTAGCAGCCTTTCTTCGTGGTCGTGTCCTGTGTCAGCTCCCCATTTGGAACTTTGCCTTCCTCTGAAGGAACTACTGAATACCATTGGAGTCATGTTATCATACTTTAAAATTGAAAGCTTTATAAAAATTAACTGAAAATATATTGATTTGCATCAGAATATACTTTATTGATTTTACCAGTTGCCTTTGCTTAGCTAGTTACTGACTTGCTACAAGGAATTCAGTTCTCTAGAAGGACATTTACATGAACTAAAAATTACTTCACAAACTATTAATCACTTCTACGTACCTTGGAGCTCCTCTTGCCAAGCAGGTAACCTTTCTTCACCAGGCACAGGGCACCAGGCCAGACAATGTATTTCATCGTCATGGCCTCTTAGCCGATGAAAATAGAGACTTAAATTAATGAAGAGATTCTCGTATAATAATACCTGACTCAATTTCTGAGCCCTTTGCCAGGATCACTATCACCACGTTACAGACAGAGAAGCCAGATCACAAGCAGCAATGGGACTGGCAGACCAACGGTCAGGCGGAGCTCCAGTACAGCCCTGGGTGCACACCTGCAGCTGCCTTTCCAAGAAGCGCAACCAGTACGTTTGGCTTCCAGAGTGACAGCAGTTCATTAGGAACACAGCTCTCAGAGACTTAAAAAACAACACTGGCTTTCATACAAGGAAAACTGCTCCCTTTACTGCAAATGCAAATTGCTTTCATTCCTTCCCTCCTCTTGTGTTTGTTCTCCTTCAAGAGAACTTTGTCATCAAGTCTCAGGGGTTTTTGTGTTCCAGCTCTTTTCAATACAGTCTTGGGTGTCTAAAGGACTGGAACTGCAGTGGTTGACAAAGGCCTAGAAAAACTAAAAAACTCTTTAGATGCACTAACCTGTAATGCAACAAACATCAGTGAAGTCTAATGAAAAAATAACAGTTTAAAGAAATTTCAGAGGTGCAAATCAAGCCTAGACCCTTACACTGCTACAGATTTCTATGACTCGCAGGTCTACCAAATCTAAAGGTTATTTCAACATCACTGTATACCAGAAGAAAAAAGAAAAACAGAAAAAAATAGTCTTACAATTGTGTAGCCAAAGTTCTTGCAGAAGAATGGAAAATCAAACATAATGAGTATTTACCCAATCGCCACCAGGTTTTCATGGTGAGGAGAACAAGTGAGACAAAAAACCGTGCGAGGCTCTGGGAAGAACTGCTGGCTGTCACTTCTGTTATGCCAGTAACAGACAATTATACCTTTCTCATCACCAGACACAATCAGATCTTTCACGAGAGGTGACCAGTGCAACGCTGTGATGGCGTTCTGAAAAAAGAGAAGTGAATACATTGAAAGCCGTCTCGCCACCGTCGAGCACGGAGGAACAGGCAGCAAACAGCCCGCGAGCATGCCCCAGCAGCTGAGCTACTGCTAAAGCCATCCGGCTCTTCTGGGCTTTGGCGCGCTTGACGTCGGTGCCGACACGCTGCCCGGAGTGACAGCGGCTGCTCAAACGCCTGTTCTTCATCTGTGCTGTGCGGAACGGGAACTTGCTGACCAGATTCCAAGCGAGCCGGGCTTTGGGCGAGCCCTGGGAGCGGCACCCGCTTGCCGAGGCTCTGCGGGTCCCCGCCCGCGCCCGCAGGCGA